GGACTGCATGAAGGCCAGGACAACTTTACGGAGTCAGTACTCTCCTACCACCTTTATGTGGGTTCCAAGAACGAAACTCAAGCCATGAAGCTTGTGTGGTTGGACAGCAAATCACCCGTCGTCCCCTGCTGAGCCTCTCGCTGGCCTAGATGTTTTGCTTTAATCCTTGTTTATTTTGCAGAAAAGGCAAAATGTCTCAGGAGCAGCCCATGTTCAGGACGCATGACTGCTAACCCTGAGCCCATGCGTCTGACTTACAAGAAGAACTTAACAAACAGCAATAAAAACCATTGTGTAACTACCTAACTTCATAAAAGACCGACACCGACCAGTACAAGACATGCATCCTAGCAATGCATCCAAACTCCAAAGACTGATTGACTTGAACTGCCTCCGACTGTCCCTTAAAGGTGATGACAAGTTCTCATCGCGGTGCAGAAACGGACCAGATTTTGTGAGACAGTCGTGGGATCCAGGTAAGACTTCTGCAGGAAGTGCAGAGGCGCTTTAGATTCACCTCAAGAGCTGGAAAAGGAATACTATGACTCACTGACACTTCACACATGTGAAACAGACATCCCTATTAGCAAAAAAATAAAAAGCACTGTCTTACAAGCGAATGGGCAACCTTGGCAAGCAAACCGCCCGAGGTGAACACCTCCCCCGCCCCCCCCAAAGAACTTAAAAGTAGTTACTCGGTGCGAAACTGCATTTGTTCCAGAAACTCAAAAAAAACAAAAAAACAAAAAAACCCAGCAGGACTTTCGTCTTGCCCGAATCCAGCCTGAGGACAACAAATTGGTCAACGGCGGAAGTTGCCTGACGAAATGACTGTAACATGAAATCCAGTTTTATGATCATAACAAAACCTTCCTTCCGGGACCAGGCCAAAAAAAAAAAAAAAAAAAAAGTTGAGAAAACGTCCTTCGGGATGCAACAGGCAACGAGGAGCACCCGGCGCCCGGCCGGGGAAGGTGGGGGACCCGATGCGGGCTCGACCCGGGCTTCCCCGTTACAAGTTGTGCGAGCGCCCGGCCCGGCCCACCCCGCCGCCGCCACCCGGCCCCTCCGGCCCGCGGCACCTCCCTCCCTCGGCCCCAGCACTGACCTTCCGCAGGGCCGGGACCAGCAGTCCCCGCCATTTCGGACTGTTTTCCTCGCTGAAGAACTCGTAGGGCTGCGGCGCCTGCTGCATGGTCCCCGGCCGCAGCGCCTCCGCATCGGAGGCCGGGCCGGTGGCCTGACAGCCAGCCGAGCGGGGCGCGC